GATATGGACACGGAGTGCTCCGAAATGGAGCCGCCCAAGTGTTAACCCAAGCTGAAAAATAGTTCACATTTGAGAAATACGCGGCCGTGCGCTGCGTCTATTTGTGGGTTACATTACAAGAATTTTAATTTTCATCCCTATATTTAAAAAAAAAAAAAAAGAAGTTTAATATATTCAATATTTCATTTTGAATGTGTAAAAACCGCACAAAAAATTCAATCAACTGCTTTGCTCCATAAACATTAAAAAATGGGCAAAAATGTTTATCAGTACTTTCAATTTTGATCATTGTTTTCCAAAGCCAAAGCAAATGTTTTATTTTGATTCAACATAAAGATTCTAATTGGTAAAGATCACATTTCTGTCATCCGTCATGAATGCAAACTGTGTTGAATAAAACATTTGCTTTGACATTGGAAAATAGTGATCAAAATTTTGGTGACCGATCAAACCAGTAACTGAAGCAGAACTCATTTTTACGCTTCTGCGTTTTCTGCACCGTCAATTCGAAATGTCATGTTTTTGAATAAAGGGATGAAAATGAATCTTTTTTTTTTCCTTTTTTAAAATATTTTTAAAAAAAAAATTTAAATCTGATTATTTTACAAAAGAGACCAAGTAATTTTTTTTTTTTTTTTGCAGCCCCAATGTAGACTACAGATCGTCTGCAAATAGAATTTTCAAGTCAAGTCCCATTGAAGTCACGTTTTTAAATCTTTTCAAAAAGATCAATACCATCGCGGCCAAAATGTCCCCCTTAAACTGGTCCACTCACGTCAAGCCCCTTTAAGTCATGCTCAGACGAGTTCAAACTGCCACGCTGACAAGTAGCGAGTCGCAAAGCTACGAAAGAAATGCACGGCCGCTTTGTTCTGTGCATTTGTCATTCAGCAGACGCACACGGAGAGAGCCGCGAGAATGCACCGATAAACGTGTCGAAATTGTTTTTTTTTTCCAACATACTGAGATGAGATTAATTGAGCCACAATGAGGCACTCTAAAGCAGCCATGCCCGTGTGAAGCCCTGCTCTGCATGCTCGTTGTCAAGTTTTTTTTTTTCTCTCGAAACGGCTCTCTGAATTAGGACAGTAAAGGGTGTCAGTCCACGTTTTAATATTTGGAGATTTCTGCCATCTTTATTCACATTTGGCCTTGTGTGGGGAAAAGTTATTTTTTTACTCATATTTCATTTGTGTCTTTAAGTATGACTATTATTGTAAATACATTTTTTAACACAGTATTTTTTTAATTTCATATTGTTACTCAATTGTTTGATTCGGTAAACTTGGTGACAGTCCTTTTGGCAATGTATTTGGTTGATTTGTGTCTTCTTAAAGCAGACCTATTGCTGGTCATAAAGGAAATCGCAAACTTCAAGGCACCAGTCGCCCCCCCCTGCAAAGTCAATTTTTGTGAGGTCGGGTATCGGAGGAGGAAAAAAACAAAAACAAACTTATTACATGGACCTACTTTTGTGCTTGTAGATTGTAGAAGCCACATGATACCATCTTCTGTTGTGTGAGCATTGTGTCATCTCTGACTGTATAAATACGCACTACGGAATACCGTGTGAGCATTTATTCCATATTCTCAATGTCCTAGTATGCTCTTTTCCTCACTCAATAAGACAGTTCAGCGCACTAGTGTCTTATTTGCAAC